ATTGTGTTCCGGGTTATCAGTAAACTGTGGGCTGAGTGATCTCACCAGATAGATAAGGAAATGTTACTTGGAAGGTACTGAGCATACCTGTGGAGAGAATCAGTCACGCAAGAGTTTGGAAAGTCCATTCATGGCATGGATTGAAAGAGCACACTGCTATTCCAGCCTGCAGGACATTCTTGAAGTGATCACGAGTGCAGAAGACCTGAATGACATGAGGATAGCATCACCTGGGAGATTTTGCAAGTGCTAAAATGCCAGACCTGCTCCTGAAGCCCTGGTCTTTGTCTCCTCCATGTATCTCTCTTCTGATGGGAGAGGCAGGTGCCAGGGTCCTGGGCTTGGAGAAGCAGGTCTTGTGGTTCCTGGGATTCACACAACACTAAGAACCAAGTGGGCCCAGATCAACCAGTGGAAACAGGCTCCAACTAGCCTGAAAATTACTTTTTTTTTTTATGTGAAGGTAGGTTAGAAAACTTGTTAGTATGTCTGAGGCCCTGAGTTTCATCCCCAACACTGACCAAAAAAATAAAAATAAAGTAGCAAAAACTTTGTTTTTGCTTGTTGTGTTGGCCTTCTGAATAAAACAGTACCCTCAGAACTTTTGTTCACCAAGATCATGATGCAAATTAAAAGTTCCTGGCACTCAATGGATTGTCAAAAAAAAAAAAAAAAAAAAAGTAGCATTCTTGATGATATTTACCCACTTGGTGGATAAAAAAAGCAGTTGATCATTGTTCAAATTCCTGAGTCTATAAAATGCCCTATATTCATTAGGCCTCTCCATGCAGTTGGGAGCTTTTGGAAAAGTCAAACATGACTTGGTCTTTAGAGTTAGAGTTCAGCAGTGCCAATACAGGAAGGCTTGTAAATGCAATAGAAAGCTGTGAGACTCCTGAAACACTTCTCTTGGCATGGAAAACTACCCATGTTCAGTGAAAAGAGCAGGTTATAGGGGCTGCAGAGATGGCTCAGCGGTTAAGAACACTGGCTGTTCTTGCACAAGACCCAGGTTCCAATCCCAGCACTCACCTGGCAACTAACAGCTATCTGTAACTCCAGTTCCAGGGGATCCGGCAGCTTCTTCTGTCCTCTGCGAGCATTGCAGGTCATGGATGCAGTTACCTACATGCAGGCAATATATGCAGTATACATAAAATTAAAAAATAATAAAGAAAAGAGCAGGTCACAAAACTGAAGATCCAGCCGGGCGTAGTGGTACACACCTTTAATTCCAGCACTTGGGAGGTAGAGGCAGGCAGATCTCTGTAAGTTCAAGGCTAGCCTGGCCTATATAGCCGTTTCCAGGACAGCTGGGGCTACAAGGAGACCGTGTCTCAAAAAAATAAATAAATAAGAGGCAAAAAAAAAAAACCTCCACAAACAAAAGACAAAACTGAAGATCCTATTCAAACATTGGGAGGCTAAGGCAGGAGGACTGTGAGTTTTACGCTGGCCTGAGCTGCACAATGAGACCCTGTCTCTGGCCCAGGTGAAAGTGTGTAGTTATGGAGAGGGGAGAACAAAGGGTGTAGAAAGACATCCACCTAGTTGTGGGGCAGGTGGGAGAATTGTGGATATTTTAAATTCTTTTTGCTTGTCAGTATATTGTTTTTTCTACAACAATAACCCAATTTCAGAATAAAAAGTAACAGGGAAATGCACAAAGACAGACAGAGACTAGCAAAGAGCTTTGCTTTACCTGCATTGGTTTGCTTGGGCTGCTATAATATGATACAACTGAGGCTCTTACGATCTGCAGGCTAGAATCTAAGGTCGGAGGCTGGAGGTTGCTCCTGTAGAATGTTAGTTCCATGCCTCTCTTCTAGCTTTTGGTCCTTGCTGGAGATCTCTGGCTTCTGCTGCCTCACTCCAGCCTCTGCCTTCATCATTCTGTGACCTTTTCTTGAGTATGTGTCTACATTCAAATTTTCACTCTTCAAAAAGATACCTGTGGGGGAGAGATGGCTCAGTGGTTAAGAGCACTGGCTGCTGTTGCAGAGGATCTGGGTTTGATTCCCTGCACCCGCATGATGACTAACAACCATCTGTAACTCCAGTTCCATGAAATCCAATGCCTTCTTCTGAACTCTGTGGGCATTGCATGATGTGGGTACACTTACATATACACAGGCAGCACACTCATACATGTAAAATGAAAATAATAAAATATTTTTAAAAAGGAATATCCATTATATTGCATTGGGAACTCACCCTTCTCCAGTATAACTCATTTTAAGAATATTAGTTAGGGGCTAGAGAGATAGCTCAGCGATTAAGAACACTGACTGTTCTTACAGAAGGCCCGGGTTCGAATCCCAGCACCCACATAGCAGCTAACAACTGTCAGTAATTCCAGTTCCAGGGGATCTGACAGCCTCTTCTATCTTCCATGGGCATTGCACAACACAGGTGCACTTACCTACAAGCAGGCAATACATGCATACACATGAAATAAAAATAATAAATAAAATATTTTTACAAAGGATATTAGTTAAAGCCAGACATGGTGGCTCACACCTTTAATCCCAGCACTAGGGAGGCAAAGGCAGGCAGATCTCTGTGAGTTCGAGGCCAGCCTGGTCTTGATAGGGAGTTCCAGGCTAGCTGAGGCTACAGGGAGACCCTGTCTCAAAAAGAAAACGAAAACGAAAAAAAAAAAAAAAAAAGAATACTAGTTAATATTTATGGGTTAAATAATTAATCTACAATTAATCTACAATAACTGTCTATAAATATGATCATGTTCTGAGGTACTTGGGGGCTAAAACTTCAACACTTGAGCTTGAGAGGGATGCAGTCCAACCCACAGCAGCACCTCAGTATGTTAGCTGCACTTCCTGCCCCATGGAGGTCCAGCACAGCTTAACACTTGGGCAGCAGTGTGATGGAACACTGACCTCCTCAAGGGACTCCTGGTTCAAGGAAATATCAGAATAACCTCATCCTGAGTGTGGCCGTCCCACACCCCAAGACACCAAGACCAGGGCCATTCAGACCAGCATATCTGATCTGGGAGATCCACTTTAAAGTCCCCAAAAGAAAGAGTAATACAAGGAATAAGAAATTGACACATTGTTACTTTTGGTTTCATATTGACATCATGACTTAAAAAACCAAAGGAGAAAGCCAGTAACACTAAAAAGAAGGGAGAAAACCTTATTTAAGCTCTACACTGAAACCTTCTCATGGGTGTTTATAGTGGTTTTAATCTACAAATTAGAAACAATCAAGATGCTCCCCAATAAGCCAAGACATAAAATAAACTGTGGTTCATCCGTGCAATGGAATATCGTTCAGTGACAAAGAGAAATGAGACGTGAAAGACAGAGGAACCTGAAACCAGCTGCAAAGTACAGCATGAACCTCATGCCATCCTGGAAAAGCTCCTGAGGCAGGGAAAAGATTGGTGGTTGTCAATGGGAAGGAGGGAGAGAGGAATAAATAGGCAAACCTCAGGATTTTTAGAACAGCATAGCTTCTTGATGTGATCCTGTAATGGTGGGTACATGTCACTATGCATTTATCAAAACCAGGCATGGCAGTACAGGCACTGCTGTAATGCAAGCACTTGAAAGGTACAAATGAGAAAAATTTAGGATCATCCTTGACCACTTATAGAATTTGAGGCTAGCCTGGGCTACTTTGAGACCTGTCTCAAAACATAAAAACTAAAAACCACCAACAAGCAAAACCTGGGCTACATAAGACCCTGTATCAAAAAAAAACCCACCAAAATAAAAAAAAACCACAAACAAGATAGCTCAATACTTGCCAGTCAGTTGCAACAAACATGCCATGACAACCATAGTGGAAGACGTTAATAATAGGTGGAAGGGAAGGAAGACAGTGTGTGGGAACTTCCCGTATGATCTGCTCAGTTTTCCTGTTAACCTAAAACTCTGTCCCCCTTCTCTCCCCCTCCAAAAGTCTATTAATTTAAAATTAATCCATCCTCAAATATATTCTGCACAAAGAAATTTCAAAGAACTCGTATACCTAGTTGGCTACCCCCAAGCAGCCCATGGCAGATGAAAGTTCAGGGAAACTGCATGAGTGAACTCCTTTTCAAAGGCAGAGAAGACCCAGATGCCCCAAGTGTGAAGTAGCGGGCCTCTCCAGAATTCAGACACCCCGACTGTCACACTTAGCTCAGACTCCACAAAACCCTTCTGATGGGGCTTAGGAGGTGGGTGTGGGGGAGGGGAAGAGGAACCAAATTCTTATTCAAAGAATTAACAATTTGGAACATGCACAAGCGTGTCAACAAGTTATGTAGATCTTATCAGCATTGCATTTTTGGTGCCTCCCAGCCATCCAGCCAGGCTCCACCAGCCTGTCAACACCCACAGCATCCCACGTCTGCACCAGCCTATCAACACCTCTGGAGGCTCTGCTACTCAGGCCTGCCTCCCCAAAGCCCCTAAGAGCCCTGGAGTCTCTTTTCCCTCTTCTCTCAGGATGCTGCCAGACCTTGCACTCTGTGTGAGAATGCCTGCTACCCATTCTGCTACCTACGGTTTGGTTGGAGTTCCATGTTCATAAAATTGAGGCAGGCCTTTATGCTAACTTTGAAAAGAGTGATGAAGGTAGACATTCCAACATCCTCACATCTGAAGGAGGAGAGTGTACGGTTCAGCTGTTTGAGAAAGTATCATTGTCATCATTGTTGAAGTATTTTAAGTTTCTGTGTTTGCAGACAGAACTTCATGATCTTGCAAAATTATAGCTAAGAGAAAAGGGAGGACACTCCTTTGAAATTCTTTTCCCCAACCCCTTAACTATGATTGAAACCCTTACAGTTCTGGATACAAGCGCACATTTGCACACAATGTGCTTATGCCTTGCTCCACAGAAATGCAGACTTTCAAATGTAATTTTACTGAAGGATCTGGGAGAGCACCATGAAAATGACAGTCTCTATAGCTCGGCTTTCTTTTGCAATCACCTGTTCATTGCATGAACGTCAGCGAATGGTTCTTGTTTGTTTTCATTTTTAGGCAGCTTTAAGTGCCTTGAAGCAGTTTTCTGAACAAGGACTGGAATCAATCGATGGAGCAATGAACGTTGAAAAAGGTTCTCTTGAAAAGTGAGTAAATCCTTGGTCAGTAGATTTACTTTTGTGATTTTGTAAATATACAGAAAATGAGACACAGATAATTATAAAGTAAAAAAATCTAAACAAGGATGCCTAAATCTTACAGAATTACTCATAATAAAATTAAGTTTAAATGAATGAAAACCAGTGTGTTTAGTAGTATTCATCTCCTCCAATACCTGGGAAAGTTCTAATCTGTGAATTGATTATTGTTTCTGCATTTTTGATGCCTGTTGGAAATGCTGAGAGTTCTTGACTGTAGCACTGCAAAACCTCCAGAACATCGTTTCAACCTCACACTGTTAGGCATTCTCTCAAGTTGGTGTTTGAGGTAAAATTTTCTCACTCTGCAGGGCATGATGGCACATGCCTTTAATCTCAGCACTTGAGAGGCAGAAGCAGGTGGATCTCTGTGAGATAGAGGCCAGTCTGGTCTACACAGTGAGTTCTAGGCCAGTTGGGGCTGCAGGGAGACCCTCTCTCAAAAAACCACCACCAACAACAACAAAAAGCTCTCACTCACATGTCTTCTAAGTAAAACTGAGAGAAAAGAAAATGGGATTAGGAGCCCCACCCCTCTGTTCTGTATTTGGGTTTCCACTTTGTTATATGGCACACATTGGGACTCCCAAGGACAACAGCAAACGTGCACCTATAACTGCCTCTGAAACCCCCAACTTGGCGCTTTTTATGAGATTCGGACATAAAACCCTGTGTAGGGAACTGAGTTCTGGATCTCTCTGGGGACCCAGTTTATACTAGCAAAATGGAAAGCCATTTTCCATACTCATTATTCCATAATAGAATCCAGACACTTTCAAAGCCAGAGTAACAGCCAGGGAGATCTCAGTGCATACACAGAAAATAACATCTTCAGGATTAAAATAAAAATACAGAACCTAGGAAGCAAACAGCAGATATACTGACCTTGCACTTAAATGAACATACAAAAATCAAACCAACAGAAAATAACAAGTACCCCGCATTTAGTCATCTATATTAAAAGATAAGAAGAGCGTGAGAAGAAAGCATTTGGTGAATAGACAGGGCATTTTAAGTTGTCTATAGATTGGCAACCATTTATAAGCTAATTTAATCAAAACCATTTCCACATGATCTCACCAGCAGACTATCTGAACATAAATATTGTTGTTTCACTTTAAAATGTCACTTTCGTGGTGACCTTTGAATCCTGTGTGCCATCTGCTAATAAACATGTCTGAAGATGTGCAGCCCTGGACCTCAGCTCTTGTTAATGTATTAATCTTTCAGACAAGCCAAGCATCTGCGGGAGAAAGCGGACAATAACCAGGCGAGCCCGGGCCCCATCACTCAGGACTGCAAGAAATCAAAGTCGGCCATCTAGCAGCTCCTAGAACCCACGGCTGCCACCGCGTCCTTATAAACCTGTCAGCACGCATGAGGGTGTCTGTGTTCAAGGAAATGAATGACTAATACCATTATCTGAGTCTTATGTGAAGACAACACTATTCTAACACAAGAGATAATGTACATGGTAGTGTTTATTCAACTGGGGGAAAATAAAACTTTGAGCATTTCCCTTGGAACTTGAGATCAGATCATAACTCATTTGCCCAGAGGCAGCAGAAATCTGATCCTGCTACTGGAGCTTAAAATAACAATTAATAAAAAGTGTTAGAAACAGAGCTAAAGTTTTAAAATGATTCATAGAGAAGTTGGTTTGGTTCTGTCCTTATGATTGTTCTGTCGTGGCAATTGTGTTCAGTTATATTCTCTCTCTTTCTCTCTCTCTCTCTCTCTCTCTCTCATTTGAAGTAATGCTTGACAATTCAAAAATTAACCAATGATGTGCTGTGGAATGTGATGTTGTCTTCATATAGAGTCGCACAGTTTCTCTTTTTATGCAGATATTTGTAATCTTCATCCTAAACACACACACACACACACACACACACACACACACACACACACAAATTACTTTAAGGTGCGCTGCACAAAAATGTATGCAAATAACTATGTTTTAAATCAGGTCAGATATTTGATTTAAAATATGAAATAATACTAGGAAGAAGTAGTTTCCATATATTCCAGGAATTTTAAAAAGACAAAATGAAACAAAACCAAACAGTTGTGGGTTTTGAGCTCCATGATGCCATTAGCCACCAAGGGGGCGTCTTGCCTCTGCCCATCTCGTTCCCTGACTCCACTCTGTCGTGGAAATTGTACCCACCCCCGTCTGTGTTGTAGCCACTCACTGTTTGCATCGAGTGTTTTTAGTAACTGCCTCTGGACTCGAACAGTGAGTAGGATCAAAATAAATACTGTACTTGGTGGGGAAGGGAAAGCCTGTTGGAGAAGCTTCTAGCCAGCCACGCTCTGGACCAGCATGTTGGACTCCAGTGGGGCAAATGCAGTAAAAATTTGGTCAGTTTCTGTGTAAAGTGTTCTTGTTGTTCTTTCATTCTTCACTCTCGTCTTTTAAACATCACCTCAGTGAAAACTCAATGAAGGCTACCACCCTGCCTAGCCATCCTGCCCAACGGTGGAATTAGAAGTGGCCATATCTGTGAAACTGCAGAGCCGCCTCCTGGGTGACTGGGGCCTGACTCTGGCCTGGTCTGACCAGCCACTGTCACCTCATTGTTCAGGCTTTCTCCTTATTGATTTGCAAAGGTTGTGCAATGAGAAAACACTATATGGTCTAACTGCTCGGCCCAACCTGACAATAGGAATAGAATTATGTAAGATTTCACAAGCAAAACCACCACAAATCATGATCTGGCTGACTCACACGCGACTGGAGGATAAACAAACAGCACCATAAGGAAATAACTCCAGGGCTGTTGTTAATGATTCCCATGTGGGCAAGTCCATCAGTATTGGGAGGGCTGGGTGCCCTTGGAGGAAATAGGCTTGGTTACATAAGGCTGGGTCTCAGGGAAAAGAACACCACATTTGTAAAGTTAGGGTTCTCAGAGGTGTTTACTATTTGGACCACAGTCTGCTGCTTAACCAAGGGCCCAGGGAACTCTAACTCATTCCCTTGGGAAGAAGCAAGCCCTTCTTCTGCCAGGACCTGGTCCCATGAGGCTCCAGGACCTGGATGAAGTGGGGGTCTGCTTCTGGCAGGGCCACTGAAGTGACTGGGCAGTTTACTCAACACAATCAACACCGCTGCAACCTTCTACAGTGACACCAAGCCAATCAGGTCTGTGGGAGAGTGGTGAGCTCAAGGGACAAACAAAGCTAATCAGTTCTCATGACCCAAGTATCTGAAGCATTTAACCAGATCTGTCTGCCAGAGAGTCACCTCAGAGCTGAATTATCACCAAACCCACAGAGCAGCAGTTATGGCAGGAGAATGGACATTTGCCTGGGATTTTATTCTGCATCCAAAATCCTGTGCCTCTACCTAGCTCAGGAAGGCCTTCGGGTATGTTCCCAGAACAGCAGCACTTCCTGGGAATCTTCTGGGTTTTTCTTTTCCTTTTTTTTTTTAACGTTTGAATTACCAATGCAAATGATGGGTGGCCTGTGTCCCTGGCAAGGCCTGCTGCAGTGCCCAGCTCCACAGCGCAATGTTATATATCATTAGAGGGGAAACCATTAAGTAGATTTATTGAAAGAATGTTTCTTCAGCACAAGGAGATCTTTTTGATGAAAAATGGAACTCATTATTCTTTAAAGGACACAGATTGACTTATCTCCTTTATCAATTACAGTGTCTGCTTTCAGCTTGTCTCAATCAGCACAGAGCTTTGTAGTCACTTCCCAGTGCTCAGGCCAGTGTGCTTTATGAAAAAGGCTTGTTTTCACATTTTAATTGGAAATGTAATATTGCACTTTGGAACTCTGACTATCTTTTCCACTACAACTTGCCAGAGATCAATAGTGAGACACCACCCGTTAGGCCATGACAGACATTCCTTCCCTTTCCTGGGGTGACCCCTTTGAGAAGCTGTACTGGCATCCTTCTTTCCAATAAACATACTCAATTATGATTTTTTTTTCCATTTCTGAAGTTTCAACCAATTTTTGCACCATAAAGTGAAAGTAGATGAATGGAAGATTTGGTCTCAGGGCTAGGGGAATGGAGCAACCATAAAATGCCTGCTGTGCAAACATGATGGCCTGAGTTCTTATCCCAGCACCCACAGAAAAGCCAGGTGCAGTGGCACGCTTCTGTAACCCTGGCACTGGGGAGCCAGGGTAGGTAGATTCCTGAAGCTCATTGGCCAGCCAATCTAGCCAAATTAATGAGCCTCCAGATTCAGAGAGAGAGGTCTTCATCTCAAAATAATAATAATAATAATAATAATAATAATAATAATAATAATAATGTGGAGAGCAGTTAAAGAAGACACTGGATAACACCCTCCGGTCTCCACATGCCATATATACACAAACTCACATGAACACATACACCATATACACAAAAGAAAGAAAGAAAGGAAGAAAGAAGAAGAAAGACTGATGTGCCTTATTATTTAAAGACTCTCAGGATTCTTGGTGACTTTGGAATGTGCCCAGACCCATGGGCTGGTTTTAAATCAAATAAATAAGTGCTGCATGTGAGTGAGCATGGCCAGCGTCCAGAGTTTGTTCTGGACCTTTCATTTTCCAAAAGCCACTTTTATTATGGCCAAGTATGAAAGTGAACTTGATAGTTTTGCATTCGGCTGATAACTCATGAATGGGAAAAGCAGATGAGAATTTGTCTTTTGAGTCTTCATAGCCTAACCCACCATCATACAAGCACCTGGTAAACACACAAGTGACACACTGAATAAGAGGACAGTGAATGATCTACCGTCAATACCTGTTAGAGAAAGACTTCAAGTCTCACTGCTTACATGACAGAGATAGGCACATATGACAACATATGGCATTACTGTTGATGTGATGTTTATTCTCAAATCCACAGGGACTGTGCAGTTTTTAAATAAAGAATAGAGGAAGTCCAAAACCAAACAGAAGTGTGGATCCATGAGACTATCTTTTCCCTACAGCTTGGAATATAAAATGTCCTTCATAGGCTCATGTGGTCAACACTTGGTCCCCATGATGGTGGCACTCTTTGAGGAGGTTCTGAAAATCTTAGGAGATGGAACCTAGCTAAAGCAAGTTGGCCACTGGGGGATACCTTGTCCCTGGCTCGCTCTCTCTCTCTCTCCCTCCCTCCCTCCCCCTCTCCCTCTCCCCCTTCCCCCCCCCCCCCCTTTTTTTTTTTTTTTCCGGTCTTTTTGAAGCAGGGTCTCCTTGTAGCCCGAGCAGACCTGGAACTCACTATGTAGCCCGGGTTGGCCTCAAACTCAGAGACCCCCCTGCCTCTGCCTCCCAAGTGCTGGGACTACAGGTGTGTGCCCCCACGCCCAGCTTCTCTCTCTCCTTCTTGTCCATAATGAGATGAAGAAGCTCGTCCACCAGAGTTCCTGCTGTTATGATGTCCTGCCAAACACCTGGGATCAAGCAGTCACAGAACAAGCCCTCTGAAAATGTGAGCCAAAATAAATCTTTCTTCCCTTAAGTTGTTCTCTCATGTATTTGGTCACAGATAAAATCTGATGAATGTCTGCATTTATGTTCCTCCCCTATGATACAAGGTTTAGTTCCAATCCTTAGCCCTACATACCTTTTTATATTGCTACAATCTCATATGCATATCTTCATGAAGAAAGACTGTTTAATATCTGATTCAAAGCACAGACTTCTTTATATCTGGTTGAACCCAGTTGTCTATTTCTGACATATACCGCCTGATTTCCATTTCACTCTGTAAGACTTATGTAAGTTACTTCACTGGGGAAGCTTTCCTCTTAGGTGCTTACCTCTCAACACAAGTAAGAACTCCATTAACTATATCCCCAGCATGCTCTGATGTGTGTGGGGAATTCAGAAAATATAAACAACTTCACTTTAAAGAGACCCACTCTATGGTTCTTATAACCTGCTCTGATATATGTAGCACATACAGGCGATAAACTCGTGTTCTGTTAACCTCCTGATATTAGGGGCTGCTTGTTACACAGGGTGACCTACCCTTACCTAACTAATAAAAGTATCTTGGGCAAAACTTGAACACAACTCTTGCAAAATAGTTGACTCCGTGCATGTATATTCTTTGAGGAACCTGGAAAAGCAGCATCTTTTAAAAATTCTTAACTTATAGTAGTCAGTAGAATTTGTAACATTATAACTTGTTTCTTTTCATTACTGACATAGTGACTTAATGACTTTATTCTAAATTTGTTGATACACATTAAATCTGTTCCAAGCTATTTCTTGTAGCTTTTTAAAGACTATTTTTAAATGTTTCCAGGATACCTTAAAAAACTACTGTGTGAAAAATATTAGCTGCTTTAAGATTGATTTGCCCCTTTCATATTTGTTTGATAGAGGACGAGATACATGGTAGAATCTTCACTTCTGGGCAAATAATTCCAAAAATCTGAGACTTTACATTCCAATAACATCTCTATTAAATAACTCTAATAAACTTATTAAATCTGAAAAAAAGAGAGAGAGAGAGACCCACTCTAGCTATTAGGAAAGATTGATAGGGAAGTGAGCCAGGATAATTGCTATCCCTTGAAGTATGACAGGTACAAGCCCACCTGCTTGTCTCCTACATTTCCTCACTCCCCTTTGCCTTGGGCACCATGCTACATATATTCTGGTGACACTGTCAAATAAGTTACATATGCTTTCAAGGAACTTTTACTACATTGGTTGTATATTACTACATTCTTTTTAAGGCAGAATCTTGCTATGTAGCCCTGGCTGGTCTAGTACTCACTGTTTACCCCAGGCTGTCCTTGAACTCATGATTCTCCTTCTTTAGCCTCATGAATGCTGGAATTACAGGTGCTTGCCACCACACCTAGCTTTCCAGCAGTGTATCTTATCTTGCCTCCACCACATCTTCTGCCTCCCCTTGAACATTTACTAGGGTGAAAACTCTTTAATCTTACCAACACTCAAGAGGGCAGTCAATCCAATTTGTGTCTCCTGACCTGGAACAGTGCCCATCTTAATATAGAAAGTACTCATTAAGTGTTGACTGGATGAACAAGACAGAAAACTCTGTCTTGATTGGTTTTCTTTGTGATGATGTGAATGATTACCTGAGCAGCAAAGTCTGGCCCACTGGATGTAGCCTCTTGCCTGACAGGGAATAAACTGTTGATTTTCTTCATAGGTAGCCTTATTGAAGTCATATAATAGCTTCAGATTTCAACTGTTCAGCTAAAAATCTTGAGATTATAATATGGAAGAGTATGGAGACTTCTTTAAACTGTGCACCCCAGGAGGTACCTCAGTGGGTGAAAGCACTTGCCACCAAGCCTGATGACCTGAGTTTAATCCTCAGAACCCACGTGGCAAAAGGAGAGCACTGACCCTGAAAATTGTCTTCTGACCTCTGCACATTGTGCTGTGATAC